TTATTATCACCTTCAATATACACCCCTCCTCTATCCCTACAACGCTCCATGCGAATCTTCCATTGTTCGAAGCAGTGCTGGAAGTCTTCTTCTGTCAGCTCCTTCAGGACGCGTGCCGCTTTCTCTTTCACAGCTTCAACGGACTCAAATCTTGTTCCTTTTAAGGCAGATTTCACCTTAGGAAACAGATAGAAGTCGCACGGCGCAAGATCTGGCGAATAAGGCGGATGGTCTAACACTGGGATGCTGAACTTGGCTAGAAACCTCTTGACAGACAATGCGGAATGAGCCGGCGCATTGTCTTGGTGGAGAACCCATGACTTGTCCTTCCACAATTCGGGTCGTTTTTTCCTTATTCTTTCACGGAGTTCAGCAAGAACGTAAAGGTAGTAATGTTGATTAATAGTTTGATCTTCCGGAACCCAGTGAAGGTACACAATCCCATGAATATCGAAAAAAACAATCATCATTGCTTTAAATTTTGATTTAATCATTCGAGCTTTTTTGGCTCTCGGTGAAGAGAGGCTCTTCCAGTGCATGGATTGGCGCTTCGTTTCAGGATCATAAGTAAAAAACCACGATTCGTCACATGTTATTATCCTTTCCAATAAGTTTGGGTCATTTTCAATGGCATTCAAAGTGTCAGTACAAACATTTTTGCGATCTTCTTGTTGTTTAAACGTAAGAATTTTAGGCACCATTTTGGCACACACTTTTTTCATGTTAAAATTGTTATGTAAAATTTGCCGTACGGATTCTTTATCAATTCGTACAGTTTCAGCAATCGCACGAATACTTAACCGACGGTCAGATCGAATCAAATTACCGATTTTTTCGATATTGTCATCCGTTTTTGACGTGGAAGGGCGACCCGGGCGTGAATCATCTTGAACGTCTTCTCGGCCATCTTGAAAACGCTTAAACCACTCAAAAACACGTGCGCGCGATAAACATTCATTGCCATACACTTCTTTCAATAAATTATATGTTTCAGTAGCAGTTTTTCCAAGTTTCATGTGAAATTTCACAACAATTCGTTGCTCTACTGTTACACTTAACATTTTTCCGGCGAAACAAAAAAAAACTCTAATGCCAATGAAGGCTACGGCTATACTGATTTGTTTACAGAAGCGAGAGGCACTGCATTCGAAAGAGAAGGCTTCACGATAACAGCTGTGGCTTGCTGGCGTTTGGCGCATGCGCACTTCTTCTGTAGCAGCGTCAGTCTCGTTATTTAATAGC